GGCCAATACTTTGAATAAGGTATTAATTCATTTTATGATTCAAATAAATGCGTTTTTTAAGCAAAAAAAAAACTGACCGAATTAAGTTGTACACCCAATAGTTTGTGCATAATAGATAATTTTCAAAGGCTGAGCTTCTCTAACAAATAAGCTATTAGCTTGGTTCGTTAAAGAAAACAAATCTAAAACCAAAAACTGTAACCTTGATTTTTAGCATTTTCGGAACAATTTGAAAAAGCATAGATTCTCCAACTTTTCCGCTCGCAAAGCGCTAATCACAACAAGTTATTCATGAAAGAAACTGTTAATTAATTCGATACTTAGATGGCCTGTCTCCACTCGTTGTGCAGATCCAGCATTGTTTCCATTCATTTCTGTCTCTCGATAGCGTCATACACGATGTCGGTATTGAACTACCACGGCGACGTTCGCGAAGTCCAGATGCATTACTCGTTACCAGCTGCGAATTCAGCTGGTCCATCCGAGTAATGAACCGTCAGCCCATCTGGTTGGTGGCCTTCCCTGAGGAGGTTTTGCTTCGCGAGGAATCCATTCCAGAGTTTTTAGTGTCCATCTATAGTCTGTCCTCTCAATATATGAAAAGCCCATCGATGTTTCGTCGGTTGTACTTCAGAAACGCGTTCCAGCACTCTCTGGGTTGTACGGAGTGCCTTCGACGTACAGTGTCAGGCCACGTCCTGTTGCGTAAAAAGCGAAGGGAGTACGGTTGAATCGAAAAGGTGGGCTCGGAGCTCTGGGTCCGCCAGTTAGTCTGTGGCTTCCTTTAGGGACCCGGAGGCGGCTCAAGCTGCTCTACGCCTCCTGTTTAGCTCTTCTTTCAGATCGTTCTCCATGTTCATCGAACGCACGAGATATACGCAAGAAGACGTTTCCGCGATTGGAGAGCCTTCTAATTCCATTTCTTGATCCTTGCAAAAAGCATTCTTTATGTATTGAGTCTTCTTCCGGTTGATTCGTAGTTCTATCCGCTTCCCTACTTAGTTCCTTCATCATCGTTTCCGCTTCAGTGATACTTTTCGAGAAGAGAAAGAGAATAATGTCGTCCGCAAAACGAAGGTTCGAGAGGAATCTCCCATCAACTCATACACCTCTCTCGTTCCAATCGTGATCTCATCACCTACTGCAAGACGGCGGTAAACAGCTTTGGCGACACAGTGTCGCCTTGTCGAACCCCCTTCGAATTGGTATGTTAAGGGGGCGTTGGAAAACTGTGCCGTTGTAGAGCAATTCTGTAGCAGTCAGCCAATGTCCTCACATAAGATGGGTCCACCCCTTGGTCGACCAGCGCTGATAATATGGCATTAGTCTCGACGCTGTCAAACGCTTTCGCGTAGTCGACGAAGGTTAGGACGAGAGGTAGGCGGTACTCTCGGCAAACCTCGATGATCCTCGAAACTGTCTGGATTGTAGTCGTGAAGGTTAGGACGAGAGGTAGACGGTACTCTCGGCAAACCTCGATGATCCTCGAAACTGTCTGGATGTGATCACGCAGCTGAATCCCTGGCGAAATCCAGCTTGTTCTACAGGTTGGGCTTCATCCAGTGTCCTTGATATGCGAGCAAGAATAATCTTCGTAATCAGCTTGTAAAGCACGCCCAGCAGGCATATTGGACGGTAGTTCCGAAGATCCTCCCTATCACCCTTCTTACGAAGAAGGATTGTTCGGGAGGTTCTCCACTGGTCGGGAGTCCTTTCCGTTTGAAGGTAGGACGTTAGATGTTCCGCAAGTATCTCGTGTAGGCGATGTCCTCCAGCTCGTAAGAGTTCGACCGAAACATGCGGTCTCGAAGCCGTGGCTGTCTTCATGGTCTGAATTGCGGCGCGTACTTCAGCAGGTAGAATCCTTGGTGGTATTTTTCCAGTGGGAATAACGGGGTTTGACACGGGTGTTGACGAGTAAAAGAGATTGGTGTAGAATCTCCTCGCGATCGTTCCATCTTTTGTGGGGGAGATGTGCGAGTCCCGTCTTCGTTTAGTAATGTTGTCAGCGGAACACGATAGTCGAGAAGTCCCTGCGGTACATCTTTAGACTTCTCTCTCCTTGTGCTGCTTCCAAGAGTTTTGATTGCCTGTACTTTCTGAGATCTACTTGCAAAGCTGATCTGCAACTGGCATTGGCTACCAGTCGCTCGAGAGTGATGCAGTCGGATCCAGCCTCAATGCTCTCCTCCTCTCCAAGTCCTTGGTGCCTTTCGAGATTCATTCAAGTTCTTTGTTTGAGGCATTGAGGCATTTTCACCGCAAGTCCTCACTCCTCTAAGCAGCTGGACGTACTTCGTTGGGGTCCTCCTCGATGGGCCCATATATGACTTCTATTCTCCCCAGAATATGGTGACAGATCTTCTTTTCCAGCTTTCTGCTGAATTGTACTTTTGCTCGAAGGAGGCGGTGATCCGAACTACTGTTGAAATATGGTACCACTGAGACGTCCAGTAAGACCTTCGGTGAATGAGGTCGATCTCCGCATAAGTCGTACCGTTGGGTAACTCTCATGTCCATGCAAGAGTTCTTTCTTCGAGATGAAGTTGTAGTGAAAAAAGTGTGCGGCAGATAAGAGCCTAACAAGACGGTTACTATTCTCATTCCGCAGTCCTGATCCTTATCTCCCGACCCTATGCTCCCCTTCTTCTGACATCCCGATTTTCGCATTGAAGTTACACGACGAACTTATAGAAGGAGTTTTCCTAACGGATGACTATCTTCAAATACTCATAAAAAGCATCAAGTTTGGAATCATAAGTTGCTGAT